GCCCATCCCTGCTAGGTAGTCGCGGGTCTTGAATAATGCCATTGTCAACTCTGACCAAAACCATGTTGCTAACTGTTTACATAACTAGCCAGTCAACCACTCCGCTATCATGATATCGAAGGAGTCCGGGGCCGGAAGGCCACCTTATCAAAAACACCGCTTCAGCAACCAATCGCCATCCGCTTCGATCTAACTTCCACTGATAAGGATGAGCTACGAAAACAACGTCCGCCAATGATGACGTTCAAACTCAAGTCGTTAGAGATAACCTACTTCCATCCTTTCGGAATTGTACAGAAAGCTAATTCGAAAACAGGAACCGAAGGGAGGAGGAGCACTGGCAACCCCATGTGGCGCCTTGGGCCTGTGGCCCTTGGGCCCTACATCAGGATGAGACTGATAGCAAGTCGTTCTCCAGGGTCCTGGGGCATGCTGATTACGAAAATATGCTCTTATCGCGGAGTCACAAGCGGCTCGTAATTTCCTATCTGAACATGAAGCATAATTTTGATCAGCATGATGTCTGCGAATTCGGAGAATTATCTGAAGCTCCATTGATATGCAGCCTGCAGTAACGGCTATATGTATGGAAGGTGCCTCCTGCTCTGGGGTTCTGGTCCAGGTACATAGCAGACTCCGCAGATCTACTGGTGATTATCAGCCTGGTAATCCACGTGGAATCTCCGTACAAGCTCCGCCGTCATATACACTCTAATACACTACTCTGTTACATTGAATCGAGAGGGAATCAGAGGCTGTCAAACATGTCCTCAGAGGAGGTCAAGTTTGTTGCCCCCCTTTCGCAAGGGTTTGGCTATGGCATCATTATTGGATTGGGTTTCGCTTTTGCGTTGGTGATGATCTTCATTACCTGGGCTTTGAGGAGGTAAGAGCTTCCCATGTCCGTCCTCATCGTGGTACACCTAATACCCGGTGCAATGCCTCTGCCTTGACCCGCAGCCATGCTAATAAGGGACTCACTTACAGATATCAGCATGAAGTCCAGACATCTGAAATGTTCTCGACCGCCGGACGGTCTGTAAAGTCGGGTTTGGTCGCCGCAGCTGTTGTCAGTAGTTGGACTTGGGCAGCTACCCTTCTGCAATCTTCAGCTGTGGCTTACCAGTACGGTGTCTCGGGGCCCTTCTTCTATGCTTCAGGTTAGTCCTAAGGGCGTACCATGACTTTGAGTGATGCGACAGAATTATTGATATTGACCGGGAATAGGTGCCTGCGTTCAGATTATATTGTTTGCGACACTCGCCATCGAGCTCAAAAGACGAGCCCCCAACGCCCATACCTTCCTGGAAGCTCTCCGCGCGCGATATGGAACTGCAGTGCATCTAGTGTTCATTGTATTCTGCCTCATGACCAATATCCTCGTCACCGCCATGTTACTCACTGGCGGTTCCGCCGTTTTGACTTCTTTGACTGGGGTTCACACAGCTGCAGCCTGTTTCCTACTGCCCATAGGTGTTGTGCTCTACACACTTTTCGGCGGTATCAAAGCAACATTTATCACCGACTACATGCACACTGTGGTCATTATCGTTGTTATTTTCATCTTCGCGTTCTCCGCCTATGCAACGAATGCGGAGCTGGGATCCCCTGGCAAAGTGTATGATGCACTGGTTGCAGCCTCTGAGCTTCATCCAGTGGAAGGCAACGCTCAAGGTAGTTACCTTACCATGAGATCCAAGGAAGGGGGGATTTTCTGGGTGATTAACCTTGTCGGTATGTACCCCTAGACTGCCCTGTACGACGACATAAACTCTGACAGATGTTTTGCAGGTAACTTCGGGTTAGTAACATGCATAATTCGGGCTTCATGTCAGATTGCTGACGACTGTAATAGCACTGTGTTCCTTGACAATGGATACTACAACAAAGGTGCGTCTATTCTATCCTCGAAAGAATAACTGTGTGAAGAGGATACTAATTACTTCCAGCCATTGCCGCAAGTCCTGTCCACGCTTTCCCAGGATATGTTATTGGAGGTCTTTGCTGGTTTGCTATACCCTGGCTGTGCGCGACCACCATGGGAATCTCTGCACTTGCCCTCGAAGGGGCCCAAAGAATTAGCTCCGACGATGTCACCGCTGGCCTTGTACTGCCCTTCGCTGCTGTCAGGCTTCTGGGCTATAGCGGAGCTGTATGCACGACCCTTATGGTATTTATGGCAGTTACTTCGGCGTTCTCAGCTCAATTGATTGCCGTCTCCTCTATTGTCACTTACGATGTCTATCAAGCGTACATCAACCCTGCCGCCAAGGGCAAGAGATTGGTGTGGGTCTCTCACATGTCTTGTATTGCCTTCGCTCTCATCATGGCTGCATTCGCGACAGGGCTCTACTACGCCGGAATTGGTATGGGCTATCTGTACTTGCTCATGGGTGTCATCATCTCCTCTGCGGTGTTTCCCGGTGCCATGACTCTTGTCTGGAAGCAACAAAACTGGATTGCGGCTGCCTGCTCACCAGTTCTTGGACTCGCGGTGTCTCTTATTGCCTGGCTCGTGACCGCCAAGAAGGAATATGGTGAACTTACCGTCGCAAGTACCGGGGCGAAGTGAGTCTTGTATTGCCCCCTGGCAGTTTGTCCCCATCCGCTAATTGAAATTAACAGCTACCCTATGCTTGCCGGTAACGTCGCGGCTCTGCTCAGCCCGATCATATTCTCGCCGGTTCTGACATACCTTTTCGGCACTCAAAACTATGACTACGAGTCGATGCGCTCTATTCGCAAAGTCGACGATACAGATGTTGCAGCCGCCGCGCACGTCGACATCGAACTAATTCCTGGCGAGCTTGACGTACGCGATGCACAAGCGGAGGAAGAAGAACAGCGCAAACTCAACAGGGCGGCTCTCTACTCTCGTACGCTGACCGTCGGCATGGTGATCTGCTTTCTACTGTTGTGGCCGCTGCCTATGTTTGGCACTTCCTACATATTCAGCAAGAAATTCTTCACCGGCTGGGTGGTCGTTGGTCTGATCTGGCTTTTCTGCACTACATTTGGCGTCGTCATCTTCCCTCTCTGGGAAGGTCGTCAAAGTATCAAGCGGGTGGTCAGGCTCATGGCCCTCGATCTCACAGGGAAGAGGCCTGCCCTTGTTGGCCAGAAATCACGAGTGCACGAAGATAACTCTTCTGGTGTTGCGACACCAACAGAGAAGATGGAACCAAAGACAAGCATTTGAAGCTCTTTTCCGTGGAACTATTCTGACGACGGAAGGTACGAAGTGATGTCTGATTATTGCCTTTGTGTTGGGATCCGTGAGATCTCATTTTGTCATGCTTGATTTATACCCCATTTGTTGCCTTAAGTAGATAATATTAATTTCATTAATCACCGTACTGTTGGCATATAATCCTAGCAACACTTGCCTGCTCTTCGACTGTGGTATATTACTGAACACAATGAGGCAAATCCACAAAGTATGATAGATATCATAAATAAAAGACGACAACAAATCAGTGGCTCTCAGCTCATCATTTATAGTTGTAATTCTGCGGCGGTGGCGCCTGGGGTTGACCCTGTCCCTGTCCCGGGGGTGGGTAGCCCTGCGGCGGATAACCGCCGCCAGCAGCGCCAGCAGCATAGTATGCCTGCGGCGGTGGTGCAGGACCTGGCGGTATGCCTTGCGGAGGTCTTGTATCCGGCGTGATATCAGGGCGATCGCTGCAGACAGTTAGAGAGAGAAAAAGGAGATTTCAACGCCAATTTCTGACGGAAACGTGGTAATCTTACCGCAGGTCCTGAGTAAATCGACACGTGTGGCATGTTACTTCCTGCCACATCTTAGAATCTCGTGGATGTACAATCTGAGGAGAAGACTCACCTTGTACTTGTGTGTCGAGAGAGGGATACAGGGCTAGAATGATCTTAGCTTTGCTTTTATGTGGCGTCTATAAGCTTGCACGGTCATACAATGAAGCAAATGGTAAACCACGGCCTGAAATATTCTTCATTAGCAATATCTTCGTGATGAGATTCTGGGTTCATGACATACCACCGAGTTATACAGTGTCCGTTCCAGTGTTGGCCTAGAAGTCGGAATCAGTACATCACCATTTCTCATGTGACCTCAATCAGGTACTCACAGTTGTAACAGTATGCTCTGACATTCTCGTACCCTTCCAGCATCGAGGTAAATTCTGTGATTCGGCGTTAGCAGTGTGAGCGAACTTAGTATGCATATATGTGAGCTTGCGGACAAACAATGCTATGTATCCAGTAATATAATGCGGAGACATAGTTGTGTCTTGTTGCTGGGTGAGACCTTACCGTGTGTTCCGAATGTGATGCAAATCGCCATGGTGGTGAAGTTTCCGAGTCTTAGTGTCTATTGAGTATTCCCGATTATAAGTATAAGACGATGCTGGGATACAAGATAAAGAGGCCTTAAACTGGGACTATTAAATAGAAGATGGTCTAGGGGCCAAGGCAGCGGTATCAGGTGACGTGTGGCGCCGTGGCTTAGCACTTGGCATATGTTTTCAGAAGAGATGTGTTGTTCAAAGTCTAAAGAATTCCTTCTACATTTTCGCCATCAGATACAGGCACAATACTAACATGGGCCAAGTCAAGTGTGACACAGGATTCTACCAAGGCCCTATTCTCATATAGGGTTGTACGGCCGATTTTCTCTGGGATTCATGATAAACATGATAGACAAGCCATCAGGCCATGTTTGCACATGTCTTCCAAACAAAATTGTACTTCTATCTCAAAAATTTCACAAGAAAACAAGAGGTTTAAAGTCGCTCAAGGTAAGCAGGAAGTCACATCATGCAGCGTGCCGCCGAGGACTGTATCAACAAGACACATTGGACTTGTCCAGCAGCAACCGAGGTCTGTTATGTCCAGCAGCAGCGCACCACCCTTCCACCTGTGACTGTTCTCGAAGGGCCAACTCCGGGGTTGCCACTTTTCAGCCGAAGGGCTTCGTAAAGTCGACTCTCCATCCCCAAAGTAGGAAGTGAACATAATGTATGATTCTATTGCGTCTTGAAGAGGAGGATGGCGCAGTGGCCGAGGTAGAAGTAGATGAAGTGCTTCGTTTCTAGAATGAGGTTAGTTGCTATTCGGAGCGGATGAGACCCCAATGCGTACCATGTGTAACGAAGCTGCCAAAGTTTCTTCCTACAACGCAATGCCATGTCGCTCCCTTGCGCGAATCAAACTGCCAAATTGCGAGTCAGCCAATCGACCCATGACATCTCGGACGGATAGAGCGCACTTCTCTCTTGATGTACTGGGCAATGTCCTGAGAATGGTAAGTATCCTAAAGGACAACAATTAATTCAAATTGCATGCACACCTTCTCGATGTGATATTTCTCCATCGCCTCAGTGGCTAGAAAGATCAGCTGCCGAACTCTCCTGGAAGCTAAGAGAGATCATACCAACTTCAACAGCCTCTTGCTGCATCTCCTCCGTCTATTGAACGAAATGAGTACCTGCTTCGTGACTGAAATAATTGCTCCCTTACCATATCGACGGACTTGATCTGAGCTATGGAAGACTTTCAGTTGCGCTCATAATGGATTGACAGCAACGCGAACACTTACGCTCCAGCTTCTCCTTCTTTTCGGTGGCCATGCTTCCGTAGAGATAGGGTGACTAAGAGGGTGCAGATAGAAACAGAAAATATAGATTGAGAAGATATTATCTTAAGGTCCGAAAGATGAAATGTGAATTGAGGACAAAACTTCAGAATATAAACATCGTCATAATTAGATGCCCAAACGCCGATGCGACGACCATCGCGTTGATGATGTGCACGGGCCATGCCCACAACTTCCTCACCGCCTTTGCACTATAAGGAAGCATCGACCAAAATTTTTTTTTTGGGCTCCCACTTGATCATCTGCGGAAACTCTACACCCACGAGACACAATCATGGAGAACACAAGAGTGTTCGTGTCTGGCCTTCCGCCGACATTTACAAATGATCAATTGAGGAAACATTTTGCAAGCCGCTTCCAGATCACAGACGCTCATGTACTTCCCAAGCGCAGGATTGGCTTCGTCGGCTTCAAAAGCCCCGAGGCAGCCCAACAAGCGGCTTCTTACTTCAATAAAACATATGTTAAGATGTCCAAGATCTCAGTAGAGATTGCTAAGCCGGTATGTCATTTCTTGCGAACAATCCTGATATTGGCCCCCATGTTCTGCTGTCATTTTCATCTTCGCCCGCTGACTTGCTGCAAAGTTGGTCTTGAGACTGACCAGAATTATTGTAGATTGACTCTGAGCCTGTGAAAAAGGCAGAGAAGCACAAGAAAGAATCAGCCTCAAATGACTCAACCGCAGGAAACGCACTCAAACGTAAACGGGACGGGGATAACACCCAGCAGGATCCCCAATTACAAGAGTATCTTTCCGTAATAGAGCGTCCCTCGAATACTAAGACGTGGGCCAATGGTGAAGACTTTCTCAACACAGTTCAAAACCAGCCAGCGACAAGTGAACGGCGGGAAGAACAGCGCGATGATACGACTGAACAAGTCGAGGAGCATTCTCACAAGCAGCGGAAGAAAGCAAGAGTGGATGATGTACCAAAGGTGGCCCATGGTCGAGAACATGAACCAATGGTCTTGGACAAGACCGAGGAAGAGCATGAGAGAGCGAATGCAGATGATCAGGGTGAAGCTATATACCACACGCAAAAAGAGGCAGAGCCAGTGTCGGATGCCGATTGGCTTCGTTCGAAGACGAGTCGTCTTCTAGGTCTACTTGACGAGGACGAGCAGGCTGAATTCGACTCTACAGCCCAGCGAAAACCCGATCCGTCGCCGCAGCCAGCGACTGTCTCGAAAGCCGGCGTTCAACACTCCGATGATGGCAAGGCTGCTGTCGAGTCATCGACCGAGGAAGAAGAGGTTGACGCGAATATTGAACATATACGTCTTTCCTCGCGGTTATTTGTTCGAAATCTACCATATGACGCCAGTGAATCAGATTTGGAGCCCGTATTTTCCAAGTTTGGCAAAGTTGAAGAGGTTCGTATTATCCCTTTGATTTATCACTGCCCTCCACCGCCTCCTCCCGGTAGAGAGTTGCTCGAATGATGATCTTCCTGATAGGGACATCTGATGCAAAAGCACATGATGCGAACAGGACAAGAGATTTTAGTAGATGCTTCTTGGATATCTGAAGAGCAACCTCGACTGAACATATTCTACTTCTTTGACACACAAAAGAGAAACCTTAACGAACTCTCGCTAATGGTTGCAGATTCACGTTGCCTTTGACACTCGGTCTACCACAAGCAAGGGATTCGCCTACGTTCAGTACATCGAGCCTGATGCGGCCGTCCAGGCCTATAAAGAGTTGGATGGGAAGCACTTCCAAGGCCGCTTAATGCACATCTTGCCAGCTGCTGCGAAGAAGACTTACAAAATCGACGAACATGAACTGTCTAAATTGCCCCTCAAGAAACAAAAGCAGATCAAGCGAAAGCTGGAGGCTTCTTCGTCCGCATTCAGCTGGAATTCATTATACATGAATGTGAGTATAAATTCATGTAGTCGCTATATCTATGAGCCGGCTAACACGATATTTGTAGACTGATGCAGTCATGTCCTCGGTGGCCGAGCGACTTGGTGTCTCCAAAGCTGATCTTTTGGATCCCACCTCGGCAGATGCCGCCGTGAAGCAAGCGCATGCTGAGACGCATGTCATTCAGGAAACCAAAGCCTACTTCACAGCGAACGGTGTCAATCTCGACGCCTTCAAGCAGCGGGAGCGAGGCAATACTGCCATCTTAGTAAAGAACTTCTCGTATGGTGTCAAGGTTGACGACTTGAGAAAGTTGTTCGAGCCATATGGCCAGATTACAAGACTACTAATGCCCCCAAGTGGTACAATAGCGATTGTTGAATTTGCTAGGCCAGACGAAGCGCAGAAAGCTTTCAAAGGCCTTGCATACCGCAAAGTGGGAGACTCTATCCTCTTTTTAGAAAAAGCGCCTGCGAATCTCTTCGACGCGACAAGTGCGCCGCAGACTTCTGTCCTCGAGACCAAGGCTGTGTCTCAAGGCTTCTCGACAGCCGACACTTTCGCAGCTGAAGATGGGGACGAACCTGTGGTCACATCGACCCTCTTCGTAAAGAACCTTAACTTTTCCACGACCAATGAAAAGTTCACGGAGGTGTTTAAGCCACTGGACGGCTTCGTTTCAGCTAGGATTAAAACCAAGCCTGATCCTAAACGACCTGGACAGACACTTAGCATGGGCTTTGGCTTTGTCGACTTCAGGACGAAAGCTCAGGCACAGGCTGCTCTTGCTGCAATGAATGGCTACAAGCTCGATCAACATGAGTTGGTAGTAAGGGCGTCTAACAAGGCCATGGATGCTGCCGAGGAGAGAAGACGTGAGGATACAGCAAAGAAAATAGCGGCGCGTCGCACGAAAATCATCATCAAGAACTTACCATTCCAAGCAACAAAGAAAGATGTCAGGTCGCTCTTTGGAGCCTATGGGCAGCTACGCTCTGTGCGGGTTCCTAAGAAGTTTGACCGGTCCGCTCGTGGTTTCGGTTTTGCTGACTTCGTAAGCGCTCGCGAAGCGGAAAATGCCATGGACGCGCTCAAGAATACGCATCTCCTGGGTAGAAGATTGGTATTGGAATTCGCAAACGAGGAGGCCGTCGATCCAGAACAAGAGATCGAGCAGATCGAGAAGAAAGTAGGGGAGCAGCTGGACAGGGTCAAACTGCAAAAGCTCACAGGAACCGGGCGCAAAAAGTTCACTGTAGGGGCACAGGAGGACGAGGAGACCTAAAAGCCCTTCTCCCTGTGTATAGGGACCATTACTGCAACGACGACTACTTCTTTGATATCATCCCTTGCTTGAGCGGAAGTCGAGGCACGGAAGCAAGCAGGCCCGGCCGACACGTTCCTGTAGCCGTCAGTACGTACATACGCGTCCTGCAGAGCGTATCGAGCACCTCGTGCATCTTAATTGAGCCTCTTCTTTCCATCCCACTTACCTGGATATCGCGAGTCACGTCCATCCTGGATTTTCCCCTCTTGTATATACGCTTAGCTTCCTTTATCCTTGGAATACCTGCACGGCCGAATCGGAGGAGAGCTGTCTGCCCTGCGTTCTGACCTACATTCCTCATGTCCTTTTAGTAAAGAGCTTCGACATTCCTCAGTTATGTTGTCCAACGTCTTGCATTCTTCACTTTGCCACCTCTCAACTGGACCTGGCTCATTTGTACCTGCTTGAATAGCGAGCGCCAGTTTTGAATGTGCGCAGCATCAAAATCCCCGAGCAGGTGCTCACTGGATCGTGCCCTCTGTGATCGCCCCTTGCGTCCCCTTATTTTTCCCTCCTCCAACTCATGCTTCTTCCTCACTCCTGATTTGTTGCAGCAAGGCGGCCGCTGCCTTGCTCTCCTCGTCACCTTGTTTGGACGCGTGAAGTGCAGGGCAAAAGGCCGCCTTGGACGACCGAGGGTGCTCTCGAATGGCTACTGCCAAACAAGCAGCACGGTCGAGAAATGTAGATACTAGGGCTTTGATAACCCTCCCGACGTCAAGGGAAAATGGTTCCCTATAAACATCTTGTTGTTCGCACCCACATTCTCTTTCCCAGGTTCTTACATTCTCTTCCCATCATCTGCGTTCTTGATCGCTGCTTGGTGACTGCTGCGTTCTTAGCCAGGCAGTAAGCATTTCGCGGGCTTCATCACACCCTTCTCTTTGGAATCTGTCATTCTTTCCCAAGAGCCCTTTGTTGGTGTCCACCCCCGATGGCTACTGACTGGCAGCCCGAGTGTATTGCGCCTCAGCATCAGTCAAGTCTGGAGAACATCGGACACCATACGGATCGAGCTCTCCAGAACACCTCGGGCAATGTACAGTCCTACTCAGACGCTATCCTTCACGGTGGGGTGAGTGGTCGTGATGACCATCTACAGCATCTGGCCTATAAATATTCCCATGCCCCTGTGCATCCTCATCCCATGCCGACTGCTACCAGTCTGCATCCTCACCACATCCTAAACGCTCGAGTTCAAGCGAAAAAGCTTCGACGTGTTCAGTCACTCGGTCCGAATCATGTTGGCGCTCGTAGGGGAAGAAGCTACCTCAAATCTCAAAAGTATTTGGAGTATCGGGCGCGGCCTCGGCGGGACACTGGCAAGGACGGGGAACCGGTCTGGTCAGATGAGCTCGAGGACGCTTTTCAGCAAGGTAACTGAAGATCTGCTATTGACATTGATTTGTGCTGTATGTGGTAACACTGTTTAGCGCTGGAGGCAAACCCACCCATGGGTAGAAGAAAGTGGTCTGAACGAGGAAAGTCGTATGGCCGAAACGAACTCATTGCAGAGTATATCTACAAGATGACCGGCAAGAAGAGGACAAGAAAGCAAGTTTCAAGTCACTTGCAGGTTCTTGACTCCTTTCTCAAGGGCGACCCCGATTGTAAGGCCACTTGCCCGAAGTGAATCCTCATTCTGCCATTCGACGAGTTACATTAACATGACAATGTTTAGGGGAGAGACTCGTCCGAGAGCAACCGGCAGACCGCTCAAGCAATCAACATCAGTCAGTTGGTCCTAAATGGAGAACTTCGCTGGACCATCCTCTGCCCAGTCACTATGGTGGGCACATGCACGCGGCATACCATGATCATCTGAGGCCAGTGCAGCCTTATGTTGGGGAGCTTCCTCCGCCCCATTACACCCTGGGCTCGAACATGCATGAACGGAGTACCGATACGATCCATGGCTTCAATTTTGACATGTGGGTGAGCGCGCCTCAGCAGGCGAACCAGGTCGACAAAGCCTTCCATGTGTACACATGCCTTCAAGGAGACCAATACCACCCTGTCGCTCCCCCTATGCCGCTGGAGAATGTCAGGGACTGGCGAACTACTTTCCCTCATTTGAACTCCGTGATGGAGGAGCTGGACGGCCCCTTGGACTGCGAGATCATTCTGCTCGAAGCAAGCCTGAAGCTGATGAATGATTTCCCCCCGCCAGGTTCCAAGCTGGGGATTCAGTTGGATATAGACTTTGCACCTCCTGGCATGACTGATGCCACGGTCCTCAGTCAAATGGACAACTGGACATGTAGCACATACATCTATGAAGATGGCCATCGGTTGTCCAAGGCCGATCATAACCTTGCCAGACCACTGTCCACTAAAGTGAAACCCCCATTTGAGTCGTCGTGGTGGGCGAAACTATTCACAGAACTCACGCAGGACAAGCAGATGGCCGAAAAATCAGGACGGCACCAGAATGCAGATGACCATATCCGGCAGTTCTTCCGCTCTCTGTCCGCAGTCCAAGAGATTCGAGCGATCTCTCAAAACTCGCGGCGAGTCTCTCATCAGGGCTCTGGCCATCCGGGCGACGGCAGTAAGAGGATGGCAATCTTACTGTGGAAGTTCCGCCAGACTCGACCTGACGAGGTTGGGCTGACAACCTGGAGGAAGCTGATTCCTCCACCCGACCGAACGATAATGAATAGTCCCAAGCCGGCCACGGGGATTGACCTGCCCCCATTGTCTCTCGATTCGATTTTGCTGAAACCACAGCCCACGAACGTGTATCACACGCCTCAAGGTCACGACATGTTGCATCACAACGGGACTTCTCAACCGCATTGGCCTTTGTACCCGCCACCGCATGAGAACATGTCCAATATGTATCATCCGACAGGCTCCTTTGATTTTCTGAACTCAGTCAGCAAAGCCGAAGATGGACTACAAGATAGAACTCCTGTCACTTCCATCCTGGATTCCTTCTCGGGCATGCCGCCACAGGAGACCAGTCAGCCATCCAGTCTCAATGTCTCCAGCGGCGGACCTGTGATGCTCAATGTTCATGACATGTCCCTGTCGCACCATAACCTTGCAGGGTACACCTTGAGCCACGACAACCACTATGTGCCCTCTCAGCAACACGGCGTTAGCGTTCACGACAGTAGCAATGTTTTGAACAATATCTTTGGTCCTGGGTCGCAGTCAATGGACGAAATCGGACATAGCCAGAGCGCATGGGGCCCTCCGATTCCGTCCACGACCATTCCAAGCGACGTTGGCTCCAACAACTACACGCACCTTCCGTACCATCACCACGACCATCAGACGCCGGCATCCCGCGAGTCGCACCCACCCAACGGCTTCGAGGGCTTGATGGGACCGGATGACCTGATGGACAAGATCGTGGGCAGCATGCCCGACGATCCTGGCATGAATGGGGCAGGACCCGATCATGCCAGTGCCGCCTATGCAGATACCAATGCAGCTGAGGCGGTCCAATGAAGGACTAAACAATATCCATTGGAAACTCTTTCTATTCTTAATGGTAATCATATTGCCAAAAGTGTGTTCAGATACCATTTTTGTTTCTTCTCTTTCATCTCTTCCTCTACTTCGGTGTCTTTTATATTGAGATCTTAGCGCAGCATTGCTGTTGGGCTTGGGTCATTTTCTCCAGGGGTTGGTGTTCACTTTTCGGAGTACCTAATATGTTTTTTCATTCTCTCTTTTATTATCCTCCAAGTCCTTCGATGTATTATAATCTTTCTAGTAATAATGATAATGGTACCATGTCCCTTTGCTTCTACGTCTGATGTCAATCCTTCGAGTATGGAGATGGATTGCGGGGGAATCCTTCGATATCGGCCATCACTTTTTGCCGGAATACTACAGGTGGATTTTCTGGACTCAACGAACCGCTGATAGATTATGGACACTTCAGACTATCTAGCCAAAATCGTTCCGATGGGATATACGTGGTAACTTGGCCCCTTTCCGTATCTCCTGGAGAAATATTTTTTTGGTGGAATTCAGCCGGCGGCAGAAACAAGGCATTTAGCCGGTATTAACCATCCCACTTGCCCACGCACTTTAGCCTCAACCTCCTGCTTTGTCGATGGCTCATTGGCTTTTCCAGTGCAATTCCCCCTGCCGGGTTTATTCCAGATGGGGTTGGTATGGGGCTGCAGGTGGTCCGGACCAGATAAATTTGGAGATGATTATTGACCATGATGCGCGCGTGCCTTTTATGTGCTGCCCCTCCCCCTCCTATTACTGATTGTTTTTGAGAAGAATAATATCCGCCAGCTGCCGCTCTTCTTTCCTGTAAGTCCTGCGTCTTCCTGCTATCGAGTGCCTGTAAGAGCTTCTTCTGAGAGTTTCCTTATCCGTCACAGGGTCAAAATAGATTCAAATCCACTGAATTCACTGTATTCAAAATGACTACCCCATCCACCAAGCTCAACAGCGGTTATGACATGCCCCTCGTGGGCTTTGGCCTCTGGAAGGTCAACAACGAGACTTGCGCCGACCAGATCTACCATGCCATCAAGGCTGGTTACCGTCTCTTCGACGGCGCCTGCGGTGAGTAACCCCTCATGTTCTCCATCTCCAACGAAAAGGCAGAGCGACAGAGTCCTGACCGTTGCAGATTACGGCAACGAGGTCGAGGCTGGCAAGGGTGTTGCCCGTGCCATTCAGGAAGGCATTGTGAAGCGTGAAGACCTCTTCATTGTGTCCAAGCTCTGGAACAGCTTCCACGACGGTGACCGCGTCGAGCCCATCTGCCGCAAGCAGCTGGCCGACTGGGGCCTTGACTACTTCGACCTGTTCATTGTCCACTTCCCCATTGCGCTCAAGTATGTCGATCCTGCTGTCCGGTACCCTCCCGGGTGGTTGTCCGAGAACAACAAGCTGGAGTTCAGCAACGCCTCCATTCAGGAGACCTGGACCGCCATGGAATCGCTGGTCGACAAGAAGCTGGCCCGCAGCATCGGTGTCAGCAACTTCAGCGCTCAGTTGCTGATGGATCTGCTGCGCTATGCTCGTATCCGCCCTGCCACCCTCCAGATCGAGCACCACCCTTACCTCACCCAGGAGCGCCTGGTCACCTATGCCCAGAAGGAGGGTATTGCCGTGACTGCGTACTCCTCGTTCGGTCCTCTGAGCTTCGTCGAGCTGGACCTGAAGGATGCTCACGAGACTCCCAAGCTGTTCGACCACGACGTTATCAAGGGTATCGCTCAGAAGCACGGCAAGACCCCTGCTCAGGTCCTGCTGCGCTGGGCTACGCAGCGCAACATTGCCGTCATCCCCAAGAGCAACGACCCCACTCGTCTGGCTCAGAACCTTGATGTCACCGGCTGGGATCTTGAGACCAGCGAGATTGAGGTCATCAGCTCCTTGAACCGGAACCTCAGATTCAATGACCCTCTTGCTGTAAGTTCAGCCTAGCCGGCTTGATCCTATTCCAGATGACTAATTCGTTTTCTCTTCTAGTACGGCTTCTATGCTCCCATCTTCTAAACGACGGATAGATTCCGGTGGTCTGAGTGGTACCGCGGCAATGCAGGCGGGAATAACTGCTCGGTCCGTTGGTGGATGATGATTGACGTCCTACGCTTAAAGTAAAATACCATAGTTTTTCCAGTATATAGTTATGACCTCGACGCATGCATTCGTGAATAGATCGCATGAAACTATACTCAATGAACCAGTAGCATCATATTCTAGCCAGGGGAATAGTGGAAGGCTGCAGATTGCGGACTTGATACTCTGTAGGAAGATCGGCTATCGGAGCGACAACACGCCGAGGGCCCCGAGACAGCATCATCGGCCTCACCATCACCAGTTCGACTTCTAGATCAATGCATACTGCAGCATCAACTTCCTAAACACAATGCCCCCTCCTGCCGGGCGCCTCGCCTCGCAGTCAATCCACATCGTCGCAAACCCCGCCCCCGTTTCCCTCGCCGAGAGCAAACTAATCCTCAGCGCTCTACAAAAATTCGGCGAAGTCGTCACATTCCGAAACCTGAAGGTACGTCCTCTTCCACCCCCAACTTCGTTCTCCAATCTGACAACGAGCAAAATAGTACGACACAACCAACACCTCCAAAGCGCCCACGCGCCCTATCCTCGCCATCTTCGACTCTCCCGACGCCGCAAAGCAAGCCCTCTCCTCCTCCCCGCTAACCATCCGCCTCCCCAACACCGACCCTGACCACACCCACACCCATAACCACGACTCTCAGTTTGAGCCGTCAGCATCAAGAACCGGAAGACCAGACTCGAGATCCAAACCAGACTTCCTGAAATGCGAGATCCTGCCCTCCCGGCATAACCACGAGTCCGCGCTGCAGCGGAACCCCTTCCACGGGACCTTCCGCGTCTACGACTCGACGTACCAGTACCGGGATCTTGTGAAGACGGGGATCCCGCTGAAGGAACTGGCGGACGAAACGATGAGTCGGAAAAGGCATGAGCCGTTCCGCGTGAAGAGGCAGATGATGAAGGAGAATAAGCGGTTGGGGGCTACGTCGTTGATGAGGTTGTATCGGGAGGGGCTTGGGGAGAATATTCTAGAGGAGGGGAAGGAGGGGAATGTGAAGGAGGAAGACAGGAGTGGGAATCGGGCGGAGGCTGGAGTGGATAGATTGGGGGAGAGATGAGTGGATGTGCGAGCACAGCTTCGTATCGACTTTTGGTCTCGACATGGTCAAAGAAGCATGCAGAGACTTCACCGCATCACCGTGTTGCCGTTGCGCCGACTCCAGGAGCGAGTCGGTTGGCAGTCACTGAGACGACCAGAACGTGTATACCACGTTCAGGGCCAGATATTGCTGGCGAGGACATACAGTACGTCCGCATGAGCCCATACAGCAAGTTGCAAGACAGCTTTTGCAACGCCTATGAATACGTTGGCAGAGTCAACCATATGGCGTTGACCATGAATGTGTCATACATTATTCCTACATATAGCAGTCCTATAGTTCCGTAGTCTAGATGAAAGGGATTCGGGCAATCCCGCCCACAAATGCATTGTTATCATAATCATTATCAATGTATACCTTCCATACAACATCACCCGACCCGGACAAAGGCTAGAAATCGTCAGCAACCCATCCGAGAGCCCGAACAGCCAAGAACGTGAACTTACTCGCATCAATCTGCATAATTTGCGGCAGCGCCAACCGCACCTTGTTTCGATACACCGCCGGCCCCTTAGTCTGCAATGGGTTCCCTTCAAAATATACTGTCTGCAGCTTCTCTTTATCCTTCAACTCGCGCTCCACCTCCTCGAAGCTCGAGAGTTCGTTGTTGGATGCCCACAGCTCCTCCAGGTTCTTCAGATGGGAGATGTGTTCCAGCTTCGAAACTTGATTGTTGGAGAAATCCAGGACGCGCAACGAGGTATTGGACTCGAGTCCACTGAGGTCGGTGATGGCGTTGTGAGATAGGTAGAGTTCTTCAAGGTTCTTGAGCGAGGAGAGGCCAGTAATGCTGGTGAGTCGATTCGACTGGATGGAGATGATGCGGAGGTTCGAGAGGGCGTCGAGGTTCTGGGTTCAGTTAGCCTGGTCGGAAATACGGCAAAGTAAGAGACAAACCTTCATTTCGGTGATCTTGTTCTTTCCAAGCCAGAGCTCCTCCAACGAGGTTAGAGTGTCAAGATTCTCGATTTCCTGCTCCATTCAGCCCAGTCCTTCTTCAAGTCAGTCCTGAAATTCACGCACCCTAATCCTGTTCGCTCCCAGCTCTAGATTCCGCAACTTCGTCAAGCCCTCCAACCCCTCAATCTTGGATATCCTGTTCTGAACAAAATAAAGATCTGTCAGATTGACCAAATGCGAGATATTCTTGATGTGCTTGATCTTGTTGAAACTCAGATCTAGACTCGTCAGATCCCGGAACTCATCGAGACCCTTGATGTGCGAAATAAGGTTATCGTAGAGGTCGACTTCGAGCAGCGTAGGCGCGATTTCGGATGGGAAGTCGATGCGAGTAATCTGGTTCTGTCGGAGGCATATTCTCTACGTGCATCATACGGTTAGCCTCGTAAGCCGCATGAGCTGCTGCGGGTCAACACACCTGGAGCTTGGGGAATCGTCCTAGTCGCAAAGCTGGGATTGAAGTGATGCGACAATGTACGAGGTCGATTTCCTAGGATATCATGAGCCCTGAGTTCCCAAAAAGGGCCCTGTCGTAGACGAAACATACTTGCGTCTCTGGATCCTCACCCTCGAGCAGATCTGCAACAAATCAATTAGCCACTCGATATTCGCCCGAAATGCGCCGACAGTCAAACATCAGTCCGCAACATAGTTGCAGCCAATACTCCGGTGCGTCATGACAAGGAAATTGACCTACCCTCATCAGCCTCAATCTCCTCAACCGGCGGCGCATCAGAATCCGAGTAATTTGGATCCTCCACGGCCTCTGGATTTGTGATCGTGGCCTTAGGCTCGACTCTCAGTTTCCCATCCCAGCCTTTACTATCTTTCATCGTTGCAAAGTGTTGTGAAGCTTAGACGGAGAAATTTTTTGATTGATGGCTCCGAGGAACGCGTAACGGAGTGCGGGGAGCTCTTCTACGTAAGAGGGGCAGAACCGGGTAGATGATCACGTTTATAGAGAGTCTAGAAGAAATTCGTAGGGCGCAGTTATTTGGGTATCGAGATGGCTGAAGTCACATTAAAATGAAAGAAGCTCTGTATCTTGAACATGAAAATCTTTGGTACTATCGTCGTGGCGTGCAGGTGATGATGATCATTCTCCGCTAGTCGTCACTGGGCGGTATTTCCCCATCCGCCTTGTGTTAGAATGAGCAAGGGACAATTCGCCCGCATCATGTCCATTGCTATTAGAAGAATTAGATGTAATCAACTAATCCTGAAAAATGAGATTCGCAATTACTTTCCCTATCTCTTCTTTAGGGTATCGTCATCGGGACATGATTCAAGCTGTATTCGGGGAAGAGCTTTTATATACAGCACATGCGCCGGAGCCAAGAGGTACATATACATTAAAAGGTCACAATCTGCGCCAAGTGTAGAATCAACGGTATGCTTTGCGAAATACCAGGGACAGTGACCTGCACACTGGGACCTTTATGGAGATGTCGCTCCTTAGGCAGAGTTCCAAGAAACGAATCAGGGCTGAAGAATGACAAGAGGACGCTGGCGTTGAAGGGGGTAATCACAAAACACAAAGAAAGGTATCGACGGACTGGACAGCGACATGCGCTGGAGGGACGTTGATGGTGGGAATGAAGCACAGGAATTTGAGGCAGAGGGAATGTTGATGACAGAGCAGCGTGTATATGAGACCTAGTCTTTGGCTACAAGCCAAGATAGACGCCCGCTTAATGCAAGAGAATCTCACACGGCAACAGATCAATGAAAAAGAGCAGTGGAGAAGGGGAACGAAACTGGGATGGGGGAATATGGTATGTGCTCGCTTGGAGTGCAGAAAGGAGACGTGATCGGAGAGGATGCTGGAACAAAGAAACAGGATGGGTGTTGAATAGGTAAGACTCAGTCTAGAAAATCACAGACAGGCGAAACCAAAAAATGCTGGTCCCACACGTCTATATGGGCCACAGGAAGGGAGAATAGAAGGGGTAGGGGCAAAACGTCAGAAGAAGCGATTATGGTAGATTCAAACATAAGCTGTGACCCTCGCAGATTCTGATAAAAGATGCTTGCACTTTTCACCTCCTGATCTTGGTAGTGCTTTGAACGACGAAGACGCGTCTCCGCATGTCACGAACAGTTGAGATTGGTTCTGGGGAGCCGTTCTTTTGCAACCACATAAAAGATCGAGAGTGTAGCTCGATGGGGGAAATGCCGGGAACAGATAAAGTTACAGAGATTACATCGCAACGTCGAGGACCAGACTGACGTCTTTTACTTGTGCGCCGGCAAGGTCTTCGAGGACAGGAATCAAGTCGAGAAGCTCGTTATCGTGGGCGTCAGAGAACCAGCTGCTGATGGGTATCGCGTGTTGAGGGTGGAAAATGTATGAAGTTGGAGAATTGTCGATGATAATCGTCTCTCGAAGGTCACGGCCAACCTGTGAGAGGTCCTATAGTAGAGATATCAATGGCTTGCTCTCATCGTGATCTTCGCTGCAGAAGGAGGCTACTGACCTTGACATAATTACCTTGATGGTTGTAGCAACTGTCTCTGAAGAGCCTGTGGTGAACAACATTGTGGATGTCAAGTTGATCGAGTAGAGGATCGCCGTACTTTCGTCCAAATCAGAAATCGTCCATTGGAATGGTATTGGGATGGGCAAACTCACCTTAGAAACAGAGGCAGTGAAGACAACCACCTCGTACAATTCTCCAACACGCTTCATGAATTGATCGACCCCAGGTCGTTTGATCACGTAGATGTTGTGGTACTGCCCTTCGATCTCCACAGGGATTGTGAAATCGGCACGCTCGAGAACCTGCGGTGGTATGTCAGAAACATGTAG